TATTTAAAAAGCCTTTAAAGCAACGCTATACTAGCTACTACTTTAGTATAAGCCTTATTTATAATATACGCCCTTACTACCGCCTTAAGAAAGGCATTAAAGGCTATAGTAAAAGTAGTATAACTAGTGTTACTAAGCATTAAGCGTAGTAGCTAAGAGAGCTGCTAAAGAGTTAAAGTAGTAGGCTTAGGCGGTAAAGATAAAGAAGGCGTATATAGTAATAGCAGGTGTATTTAGGCTAATAAAGCCTACTAGGCCTTTACCTAGTAAGCTACCTCTTAAGCCTTCTTCTAGGCCTTAATGCCTTAGTAAAGATTAAGCTTTCTTTATATAACGTTAGTAGCTAACAATACCCTTAGCAATATAGGCTGCTACTACTTATCTACCTATAATAAGGTAGTAATAAAAGCACCTATAGCACGCGCAAGTGCCGCGCGCACTATAGGTAAACCTTAGCTATAAAGCTTCTTATTAAGGCTACGTAGCACTATCTTAAAGTTAGCCTAGTTGCTAACTATTAGCGGGAAAACCTGCATTTTATTAGCTACTAAAGCCGCCTATAGCTACTAAAGAGGACTTACCCTATAACACTTATGCTTGCTAGCACGGCAGCCGTCGCAGCGCTTAGCGCTAGCAACGCTATAAATATACAGCATAGCTGTAAACCTAGGCAACTTTATAGAGAGAGTTGTTAAAAAGCGGTGCAAGCACTACATACATAACAAGCCGTCTAAGGCAACCTAAGGGTAAGCTAGTAACGTAGCCGCCACTAACCTTAAAAGCGCCAAACTAGCAAGGGCAGCTCCTACACTTTAACAGGCTACTAAAAGCTTAACTAAGGGCACGGCGCGCGCCGCAGTCTGCGCCGAATAACGAACTAGGCTAGCGTAAGCCCTGCGCGTACGTTGCGTGCAGCCGGAACTAGCACCTTAGCTAGAGGGTAAAGGGTGTTAGAGAGTAGGGGCCAAGGCTGTAGCGAGTACTAGAGCGCTAAAGGCGCTTACTGCAAGCATAGGAACGTTAGAATTAAGAGTAGCTATGTTGCTGCTAGAAGACGAATTTGTTGTTTTTAGAAGAAGTAACCGGATGCTAGACCCTATAATAATCTAATTTAACTATAAGACTAACCTCTTAAATAAAGAGAATTAAAGGCGCCTTAAGTTGCCTTTAACAGCGATCTTAGCAAGCATAAAAGGGCCGCCGCAAACGGACAAGCACCACTACTACTAGGAATAAAGGCTGCAAGCCTTTTGTTAAGACCTGCCTTAAGGGAGTTAGGCATAGGAGGGGAGCAATTGTAACGCCGCCCTAGGAAGGGGACCGACGCAGGCTACGCGCAAGCCGTACGCAGTATGCGCATAGCGTATTAAATGCACATTGTAAACTAGAAGCGGTGCTTGTGGCGCAGGCTGCGTGGCGCAGTCTGCGCACAGGCTATAGCACGTGCTAGCGCACGGGCTAAGTAGAAATAGGGTCGCGCCTGTTCTGCGTACTTGGTGCGCTAGAGGTGCGCCTACGATAAAGAGCGCCTCCTGCACTCCCTTAGAGTGTAGAAGGCAAGAATTAGCTATTGAATATACAGCTGCTCCCTCCTGTTAAGAAGATACCTCCTTGCTTGCTTAACTTACCTAGCCTACTTAAGTATACCTTTAATAGGTGTAAACTAGCTTAGTGTTTTTTATAACGTTTTCTAGCTTTATAAGCTTTTCTTCTACTTACTTTAACGTCTTTTTAAGCGCCTTTTAAGACGAGTAACTTATTTGTTAATAAATAAGGCGTAGTTTTTAACGCTTGCTTAAAGACTACGTATAGCTTTTAAGTTAAATTTATTAAATTTAAGATTAGTCTTAGTATTTTAAATAAAGTCTTAGTAAAATTCTTAAGCCGCGCAATTTATCTTTTTTTAACTCTCTCTTTATATAAAAGAAGGCTTGTTTTAAATTAGTATAAAGAAGCTAGTCTTTTTAATATTAAATTAGTAAAAGGCTACTTTATTTATAGCTACTAGCTTAGTACTATTAATGTAATTACCTACTTTATAAAAGCATAAGCTAAATATAATATTTAAGAGGAAGCCTAGTACTAAGAAAACATAGTTTAAGGTTACTTTGTATACCTTGCTGTCTAGTCTTATTATCTAAAGCACTACTTAGCCTATAGATTTAGTAATAATAAGGCTACTACTAGTATAAATTGTAATTATAGCAGTGTGCTCTATACTAAGTTTAAACTAACTAGGGTTATTAGTAATATAAATATTACCTTTTATATTAAATAGCTAGTTGTTTATATAGCTACTATAGAAGTTTTAGAAAGAGGTATAGTAAGCATAACCCTTTATTAATTAAAAGTATAGATCTAAGCCTTTATAATTCGTTCGCGCATCTAGTGCGCAGCTATTGTTACTTGTAGTAATAATGCTATTATATAACTTATAGTAAGAGTTTATAGTTACCGCTTTCTATAGGTTATTAGTAATCGTAACTATACTAAAATTAAGTGCTAGTATAAACGTAAGCACCTTGTCTATAAGTTTAAACTAGATAGTAGTTATAAAGCTAACTGCTTTACTAAAGAGTTCTTTCTTTACTATGTTACTAGTTTTGCCTTTAAAGGCCTACTTAAGGCAAAGCTTTAGGTTCTTCTTTTAGTATTTAGTGATTATATGCCTAGTGCAATTATAGTGCGCGCATTTCGTGCCGTCTTAGCGCTTGCTAGAAGCCTTAGTCTTCTAGCTTTTAACGCTATTACTGCTGTCTTTTTCCTTAGTCGTCTTGTTTTTAGTTTTAATCTTGCTAGTGCTGCTAGTGCTACTGCCTTTAGCGTTTAATGTAGCAAACAACTGATCCTTATAGCAGTTAGTAACGAAAAGCTTTACTATTGCATAGACCTTATTGCCTACTATAGAAATCTATTTGATTTGCTAAAGGTTTAGTAGTTTTGCGTTTAAGGCAGGGAACTTCTTATAAACGCAGCTTACTAGATTTATGGCTTTTTGCTTGCTTATAAGTAGTTTAACATAGGTATTATAACCGCGAATAACTTCTTTAATTCTACTAAAAAAGTCCTTTATTTTTTTGCTATTATACTAGCGCATTGTTGTTTAAAATTTAGTGCTATAATTAATGGCTAGATTAGCTTCCTATAATTTTAAAAGCTGTTTAAGCGTTTTATAGATAACCTAAATATCGTCTCCTTTAGTTTGCTTAAGTAGACCGTCGCTAACCTGTAGAGTAACGCTATATTTAATTAATTAACGGTTGTTAGCAAGCATTTGCTTAATAGTAGTAAAGTCGTTAATCCTAAGTAGGCTAAGGCCTTTAAATACGTTCTTCTCCTACTTGTCCTAGTTTGCTACGCCGGTAAGCCTTAGCACCTACTTTAAGTAGTAGCTTACAAACAGCTTAATGCACATTAGGTTAACCTAAATCGGCTTAAGCGCCGCTGCACTAGCTTGTAACATAGTAGGAGATTTAGGTTTTAGTTCTAGATTGTAAAAAGATTTAGAGGTTTGTAACTGCTAATTAGGTTCTTTACCACCAGCGTCGTTTTCGTTGTTTAGAGTGTCTTTGTTAACCTTAGCCCTGTAAATGCTATTTTCGTTAGCCACGTAAATGCTGCTTCTAATGCTTGATTCGGACTTAGCGTCTAATTCTAATTTAACGATTAGAGGTCTGCTGCTCTTGCTTAGTCTGCCACTGGGAGTTCTGTTCTAGCTAGGCGAGGTTATAAATATAACCTTGGTAATCTTAACAAGGCTCTTTCGTCCGTCAGATTAGTGCTCAAAGCACTAGGTGCTTTACGAAGCGTATCGTAAAGGCTTTTCGGTTTATTTGTTTAGCTTCTCCCGGTCCTCTTAGGCCGGGCTTATAACCTGTAAAGGTTAAAGGAGGCTATACGTGGCGGTCATATAACGTGATGCACTGTGAGGAGCAGGAGGCTGAATAGGGTCTAGTGCGGGCGAAGGAGTGTTGTGTACTAAGGAAGAAATAGATACATTGCGACCCTTTTAGGGATCCGTATTAATACTAGTGCCAGGCCCCGCTTTTGTGCCTTCTAACCAATTACAGGCCTGTAAGGCTAAGTGGGGCGGAAGGGCTATAGTATGGCGGATTCTAATGCTTGACATTATACTATACAACCTTAAACTAGTGCTTAATTAGCTTAAAATACAATAAGGCTATTAGTAAAAGTAATAGCATTTACTAATACTACCTTTATTATTATTATTATTACTACCTAGTATGCCTACTACCTTATGCTAAATTAAGAAAGTAGCTAATAAGCTAGAAGACTAAATAGAAGAGACTTATAATAAGCTTTGCTAATTAATTAAAGGCTTAATTACCGTTGCTGCTAAATTAATTTAAATAAAGAAGGACCTAGGCTGCACTAAGCTTGCTAAATTAGCAAGAAGAAAAGCACGATTAAGAGCAAATACAAGCTTATAATTAAAAGGGACCCTTAACGAGAATACAGCCCGGGAGATGGTTGTTTAAAAGGATAAAGAGAGGGAGGCTAGAGAGCAGCGGGCGATTAAGGCTGCGGAGAAAAGGTACTACAACGCAATAAAGAAGTGGTCTATGGCTGCCGCGAAAAGGGCTAGGGAGATGAGAATCGAAGGGAGATTAGGCGTATATGAAATTCGAGAGGCTGGGAAGCGCATGCGCCGCTCAAAGCGAGGTTAAAGTAGGAGGTAGTAATAATACAGAAATAGTGCTCATTTGGCTGGTGACTATTTGGCTGGCTAGCACCACCTATGGTGGTGCGCGTTTTTCAACGCGAGCCCTGGGTGGGGCGGGGCACGAGTAAGACAAAATGACCAGTTACTCTTCTCATCATTCAAGAGTAGAATATTCCGTACCATTTCTAAATTCCCTCCCTTCTTCTTACTTTTTCCTCCCGCTTATCTACCGATACAAAGCTTGTTTCTTCGTTTTTATTACCACCCGTCTCTTTTCGCGTATTTTGCTTCGTCGATAATTGCCACCAACAAGTCCATGGAACCAACGAAAGCGGCAGGATCACCCACCCCGGCTAGTGCAGGGCCGAGCCCGCCAACTATTCCACTTAACCCCGGACCAAGAGGCGGTCAAAGCGAGCCGTCCCTAATACTTCCAACGGTGGCTCTCCCCACGAGTACGCTCAATAACTTTATCCGACCTGGGGACGAGCCGGGCGAAATTTTCGGCGACGATGACTCTGCCTTGGGCTCTGACGTTGGCAGCTCTACGGGCTCTATAACGTCGAGCATCTTGCATTATCGCACTCTAAACGGCCGCACCTACCACAATGACCGCAACAATACGCAATACTGGGGAGCGAACGATGATGCTCAGAACAACTCGGTGGACATCATGTACGTCTTCCCCATCAAATACTATCTCGAGCTCTGAATACCTCGTCTAACGCTCTTTAGGCACCATGCATTTACTCTTTTACTTGGCAACAAGCTTCATTTGGCTCCGCTACCAGACAAGGTCGAAAAGGTGCTCGACCTAGGCACTGGCACTGGCATCTGGGCAATGTACGATACACCCCTCTCCAATCTGTTGAACGTTTCAACATTGACTTAACTCTAGCGATTTTGCGGACGAGCACCCAGATGCTCAGGTGGTCGGTATCGACCTATCGCCCATCCAACCTTCCTGGATTCCTCCAAACGTATCATTGTACGAAGCCACCGGTGCCTATACTGTTCTGATAATACCAAGTTTTGCACGTTCTACTTTCTGTTAACACCTGCAGTCAGATTGATGACTTTACAGAGCCTTGGTCTTTTGAAGATAATTCGTTTGATTTTATCTACCTGCGCTGGCTTTGTGGCGCCGTCAGAGACTGGGTTAAGCTATTTTCTAAGGTTTACCGTGCCCTTAGACCGGGCGGCTGGATCGAGTCCTTTGATTTTGATAGCAAGTACCTGTCCGACGACGACACGCTAAACGATCAGACTGCCATCTACCAATGGGACCACATCTTCAACGAAGGCGCCCGCAAAGCTGGCTTGAACGTTACTTGCTTAACGTAAACAGGCACTCCCTACTTGCTTTTGATCTTCAAGCTGTCACGTCTATCACGAAATGTTATTGGTTCATCTTTCATTGTGCCGAACGTGACGAGAAAGTGTTGCATAAGGAGCTAAATACTCTGGTGTTCTATTCAACTTAAAAAATGAAATATATAAATAACGCTAAGTGAAGTTCCTTAGTTCAAGAGTCTGTAAGGCTACATTTGCAACCCAATTTCTCTTAAAGGGTACGTATCGCCTACCTTGATCAACTCTCCTACTGGTAATCCCTTAATGTTAGAATTAAGCAAGTAAAATATGTAGACGGCTCAAGAGTACAATGTAAACCTTTGTACTCGTAGATCATCTTGCAAGTTATATAATCTTAAGCTTTGAAGTGGCGGTATATAGGCTAGGGTACGGGATAACAAGAAGTAAAACGTATGCGAGGATTAATCAAAAAAAGGTAGTCTTTCATTAAGATACGCCTCGGCTAAACATAGCCATCGGCATACCCCTAGGCAGCCAGACATCGAAAAGCATTTACGTCGTAGAGCCTAATTTAATACCACGTACTCTGTACACTAAATCTTGAATACGTTTCCCAAACAAGACTCCTCATCAACCCATACTATGCGCATACTCTGAAACCGGCATAGTGTGTGGATTTGTTGGTGAAGGCCCCTTGAGAGTACGGAGTATATTAGACGGTGGGCCGCGTTACGTACATGACTTACGCTGTGTTTGACTCTTTCCAGTCGAAATCAAAAAAAAAAAAAGCTCGAGGCTCTAAACGTTAGCTACCATGATATTTGCTTAAGTCTAGTGAATATGTTACGGTGTGCGATTAGATGCTTGGATGGTACGCACATAAATGCTCGTAATTTTGTCTTGCTGACTACTGCCTATAATCAAAGGCCTTAAGCGTCTGCAACTGGTTCTTATACAACACATCTACACTCCGGTCCCCGAATTTTGACAGACTATACGACCGATGACCGAGTCAAATTCTCAGATGTATTTTTGATTTTGGGTCTGTGGTTTACCCCAATGAAGGACCGGCTTTAGCTCTTGGTATTCCCGATTAGGATCACATCCGTTTCAACGGCCCCCGGGGCCACCACCGCCTGGGCCACCAAAACCCCCGCCCTGACCACCCTGAGGGCCGCCGAATCCGCCCTGACCACTCTGGGGGCCGCCACCACCACCCTGGTGACCACCAAAGCCCCCAGGTCCGCCCCCCTGACCACCCTGAGGACCGCCGAATCCGCCCTGGCCACCCTGGGGACCGCCAAAGCCACCCTGGTGGCCACCAAAGCCTCCAGGTCCGCCCCCTTGACCGCCCTGGGGGCCGCCGCCACCGCCTTGCCCGCCGAAGCCGCCCTGGCCACCCTGGGGGCCGCCGCTACCTCCTGGCCCGCCGCCCGGTCCACCGTGATGTCCGCCCTCGTGTCCTGGACCGCCGCCGTGCATCTTTTCTCCGATTTTGTGTTCGAGGTGGTGGAGGAGACCCATGGAAGGTAGGTAGAGTATAATTGGGATTGTTCGTAAAAAGTGAGTTTTTCTGAGAAGACGAGAAGCGATGAGGAGTGATTGTTGTCAACAACTGCCACCTAGGTAATACAGGACTTAAGTAGTCAGATCAGGCGATAAGAGGGTCAGACTGTCCAAGTACGTCATTGTCATAAATCTGGGAAGACGCGCGGACTCTGCAGCTGTAGGGACTAGCTAGGCGAATAACAGCCTAAATGGCAGCTGCCAAGAGAATTTAGTCGTGGACTGATGACGTGGATTGCGATCGAGCTAGACAATACTTAACAAACTAACGCACCAGGCCCACTACTATGAACGAGAAGAGCTGAGATGTCGTACACAGATGGCCCGCTACTCTAAAAGATGAGCTGAGTTGTTACATAGTAGCATGACGAACACTGCCATAGGGGCAAGCAGCTGAGCTATCTCATACTTACACAGCAAGCTAGTCATCAATGGAACGCATTTGCGGAGCTTGGGCGGGACCAAGAGCTTCAAGTCGGACCTCGGCATCACATACTATGTAGGATGGTGTAGTGCCTCTGAACCGAGCCTTGACCGCCGCAATGGGAGGCAAAGTTTCCCAGAAGATCGCTCCAAAATACGAGCCTCATAAGAGGCCAATTGAGCAAATGCTCGCCATGCTGGGAAGGTTCGGCATGAAACCGAGTAAGAAGAAAAGAAGCAAGTGGTTTAGGTAATTTGAAAGCACTGTCGATTGGCATGAGGCCCCCTCGTTCGCCTGTTTGCCTCTCGCTTATCCCAAATACCGCCCGGGTCCGCGCCGGAATAGGACGTCTTTGCCCGCCATGGCGCAGGCTGCCCACCATGAAACGTTGACCTGGAGATAGCTGGTCTTCGGTACGACTGGACGGCCTAGTGGGCAGGGCACGGCACACCACCGTGGGTTTGAATTATGCATTACTATACGAACACGTCCACATCGTCGGCACCTTATAGCTTCTTAGCGGCGCTCTGCACGGCCAGCTATATACAGTCTCTCTGTAGGTTACCGCTGCTGCCGAGACTTGGTGGCGTTGCACGCCGTCGGTGAGGCTAGCTGCGACGAATCTCAGCTTGAGAAACTAGCCGAAAGTTGTGCGACATGGGCCTAGTATTGTATTATTAAGGTATTGTGTATGCTGTAAGCTCATACGGAGAGTACTTGCTGATTCTTTTACAACATAGACCAACATTTTCCTAGATTACGCCAATGCGGGCAGACTGAGAGCGTCCTCGAAGGGTATGGGCATGCAGGGAAACATGCAGCACGGCGCTATCTTGGCATTAACAATAATAGGGTGCATGGTCTAGGGGTATGATTTTCCCTTCGCATGGGAAAGGTCTCCGGTTCGAATCCGGATGTATCCATTTTTTGATTTCCCACATCTGTAATATCATATTGCCTCGTATGAAGTATTTTCATTTGCAACTGCATCGTCCGTGGTTTTTCCGTTTGGCTTCCTCTCTTTATGTCCCGTGAGGGTTTCTGTACATGATAACGCCAAAAACCCCATTCCATTAAGCTTTAAAGCCTCGTGGTCCTTCGAAAATAACGCTATTAAAATTGACTCGCTGAGATAGGCGAGTGAGTTCGGGTCACAGTTCACGATGACGTACCCCCGTCATCTAGTTAAGATAAAGTCTAGTAGGTCTTGATAAAAATCAAATATGGCCTGTAAATATTTTATGTTTCCCAATCTTGCTGTGGGAGAGTCGTCGGAACTGTATGCCGGTGCACTACCAACGGGTAATCTCCGCCATATCACGTCGCGGGATCAAAGAGACCGGTCCACCGCCTTTCGAACACCTTGAAAGCTGAGACTGTCTCTTGTTTCTGAAACCGCTTTGACATCTTATTACGTATGTGCATAAAGCCCGGACAGTCGTATCGTTGCCTACAGTCTGTCAGAGTGCCATATCCTCGTTTATGCTCACCGTTGGCCAAATTAGCCAAGTAATAGTCTACGTTACCACGAATGCGCACTACAACCCCTTGTGACTTGCAGGTCTAGTTAACGTACGCCGCAACGTGTTTGACATCACCGGTTTTCCTTGCTTATACTTGAAAAACGCATGGAGTAGCGCTGTTGTAGTACCGGCTATCGAGGCATCTTGCAGTCATCCTAAAATCTGAACAATAACAGTCGCTAGCTGCGGGCCTAAGCTAGTGCAGTCCGACAACCACTCGACACGCAAGCGTCATGCACTCTGCGATGCATCTGGGCGGATCGCCAAGATTTCCGCAATCACAGAACGAGCTTTGTCCCTGGCTCTAACTTTGCTCATATGTCTGTATCCATGTTCTCGGCTTGTGGATCCGCGCAGCTGTCGAGGAACACGCTACCGATACCGCTCAGATTCACAATCAACAAACTTAGTCTGAGCCGGCGGCTTCGTCCCGCTGATTCTATCAGTTTCGTATCGCCTAAGTACATGTGACCAGACATGTCACATGAAAGCTGGAAAGCAAATATATCACAAAGGAAGAATTGTAGTACCGACGACACTCCTCGATGTCTAATTTCAGTTTCAGCTACAGATTAGTTCCAGAGCCCCAACGAGAGCATAGCGGAAGTTGTTGTAGCCTATCAACTATCTGTTCAATTGTTTTTAGACCTATACCTTAGGATTTGGACCTTCGTCTAAGGCGTTGCATCTTAAGCCGCATTATTAGGGCAAAACATAATTTAGTCTCTTAACCATATCTTGGGCTTTTTTTCTATCTAGAAACTCTAGCCGGTCGACAATTTGTATCAACAATAATATCCTATGACCCTGATCCTGGGAATAGTGTACTTGTATATTTCCTTAGCTACTCGTGGAAAGACATTAGTCTACTGATGCACCTTTGCCCTCTTTACTATTTTCTAGGCACCACGTTTCTTAACCCATTAATCACAAACTGCAAGAGCATAAAGTTTGGCATAAATGGTAAGAGATGGTGTTGATTATTGCAGCAGATGATCGTTTAGTTCTAATGCGCACCGGCAGCTAAAACGAATATTCTATTAAGCCTCGTATGCGTCTTCCGTAAATAACTAAATTCCTATATCAATAGAAAGGGCATACGTATAAGATGAGCTTGCCAGCTCTGCGCAAGATTCGATCAAGGCAAGAACCTCACCGGCTATGTCTGCTATCTGGTCCCTGTTGCGGCTGATAGTTACTATTTTCTTGAAAGTTCTATTGGATTGTCATACCACCTGCACCAAGTGCAAAAGTAGGGATCCTATACCTTCCATCATAGTAGGCAGGGTTATATATGACTAATTCTGGTTTCAACAAGTTCTTGCCGTGATTCCAAAATATTTTATTAATAAGCAGCTGGCTATTATGCTGCGCAGTAAACTATTGCAACCGAAAAGTCAACTTGATGCAGGTCGCGTTTTCTTCCGCAAGGCTGACAGCCCGATGAAAGATAACTAAGAGACCCACCTGACATTTGAAATGACCGGCTTGAAAAACGGTAGTCACGTGAGCTAGTCCAATCCCCACTTCGGAACGGGAGAATGCCTCCCATCCCACCACTCACATCAGCTGCTATGATTCACGTATCGCAGTTGATTATACACCTCAACCGCTGCAGCAGCTTTGCGTGCGCTCGAAGTTCTATTCCCAAAATTAAGGAGCCAAGGAATATCTTGAATTCTGTCTTTCTTCTGCAAAACAAGCTCTGCTCAAGATACCAGCACCTTCTGCCAGCAGAGTCACGGACAGCCGTATCCAAGAGTGACTCTACTCGTCATGGCGAGCCCTCAGGCCTCTAAGATCGACAAGGCGAATCACCTTCTTCTGGTATTTTTTTTGCTTTTATCCTATTCATTATTTTCTATCGTCGATGTACTCTTTCGTTTTCATTTCTTATGTCTGCAACTATTGCCACTGTAAACCCGATCCGCCTGCTGACCACCCCACGCCCTTACAGGACCAGCCTCTGCTCCGGCTGCCATATGAGCTTTTGCGCAACAATTTCCGATCAGCACATTTTACTGTGGAGAAGGAGAGCGTTGCGGTCAAGAATGCGCTTCGAGAAGCAGCCACAGCCGGGCTCAACGGACGATTGTCGACAGAGGATGTGCTGCGCAGCCTAGATGCCATGGTGGTGCGGATGCGAGGCGTTAAGCGCAAGCTGGAGACTGGCGCAGCCGAGGAGGACCGACTGTACAGCCAGGTGGACGCTCGGACAGCCCACCTGGCCGAGTTGACCGACATCCACAGCCTCGACGACGTAGCCTACGAGGCGTGGAGCCGGCGCCGTCTGGATCGCCTTCTGGTCGACTATCTGCTGCGGCACGGCTACGCCGCGAGTGCAGAGGGCTTGGTAGAAGGGGTAGGCGGGATCGGAACGAGGGGGGCCGAAGACGACGGAAGCAAAGGCACGAAAAGCATAAGCACTACAACCTCCGAAGTGCCCAAATCCGCCAAGTACACAGGAAACCTCCGCGACCTTGTCGACATGGACACGTTTGCTAACATGCGGCGAATCCGCATGCGGCTACTTCGAGACCACAGCGTCATTGAGGCGCTGGCCTGGTGCGCCGACAACAAGAAGGAGCTGCGTAAGATGGAAAGCCGGCTCGAATTCATGCTGCGGTACCAGCAGTACATCGAGTTGGCGCGCACGCAGGAGCCTGCGCGACTGGCCGACGCCGTGGCCCATGCGCGGCGCCACCTGTCCCCTTGGCACACCATTTTTCCAGCCGAGTGCCGCCAGGCCGCCGCTTTGCTCTGCTACCCGCCGGCCGAACCGCCGGCCGAGTACGCCGAGCTCTGGAGCCTCGAACGCTGGGCGGTTCTGGCTGACCTCTTCACCACGACGCATTACCAGCTGCTCGCCCTACCGTCAGTACCGCTGCTGCACCTGGCTCTTTCGTCCGGCCTGTCTGCACTGAAGACGCCAGCTTGCCACTCGTCTTCGCCTGCCGGCGCCACCCTACCGGTGGACCTCTTGGATGCTGATGACGGCGACGACGACCGCGGCCACGATCATCGCCAGGAGACGCCCACTCCTACATTTTCCCCCTCCACCACTCAGGTCGGCGCATCCGTCTGTCCGATCTGCTCGCCCGAGCTCAACGAGCTGGCACGTTACGTCCCCTATGCCCATCACAGCAAGAGCCACGCTGAACAGGACACAATGATGCTACCCAACGGCCGCGTCTACAGCCTTGCCCGGCTGCATGAGTATGCCCGCAAGTCGGGCCTCGCCCCCGGCATCATCAAGGACCTGCGCACCGGAGACATCTATCCCGTCGACCAGCTGGTCAAGGTGTTTATATTTTGAGCCTTGTTCTTATCTTTCTTATTGCTTCTGTCTCTAATTTGGGATACTGCGCTTTGCTCGGGAAATGACGCAGGACGGCGTTTTCGTATAGCATGCTCACTTCTCACAGGCCCTCCACACATAGCGAATTCATATCCATTGACCTTTTGTAGTTAAAAAGCCATTCTCCGTTTTACGGAAGAAGCTGTTGTGACTAAGGCTATACAGTGTACAAAGAAAGAATAGCACACGGGCACAAATAAGGGGGAAACGACAAGGGGGAAAGAAACCCGGTTAAAAAAGATACAAGAACACCATTGCCCTCCTTTCCATATCCCTCGTCTGAAAGGAAGATAGAAAGAGAAGTATAGAAGTCGAAAACGAGGGACACCGGCCGGCAATATAACAGAGGACATCTGAGATGCAGAGTACGAGCACCATCAATCGTCTTGTCTCATCTCTAGTTGTGCTGGCCGGCAGACATCCTCTGCTTTTCAGCCGCCCAAGCAAATCAAACACAAGAGAAATCAATCCCGATTGCTCTGAACGAAGGACCCTACCATCCGTTTATTCTTCTTTCCTTCTTTTCTCTATCCCTCTCTCTCCAGTCCCCCCTGCCTCTCTCTCTACTTCTCACCGATTTCCTCCAAAAGCGAAGCTGCCAAAGACACCCCCTCCACCGCCAGGGGTCATAGGCCCCATGCCCATGCTGTTCGTGTTGTGGCTGCCTGCAGCCGGCGTGCTCACTAGCCCAACTGTGGTCGTATGTGGCGTGCTTGGCGTGCCGTTTCCGTTCGGAGTTTCATCTGTCGTAGCGGAGGCTCCGCTGACCCCGTTGGTGCCGCCGGCCGTGTCTGCCGCAGCCGCATTACCACCGTTACTTCCAGGGTTATTGCCGACGCCAGCGCCGGTACCACCAACATTGCCACTGCCAAGGCCGCCGACACCGCCTCCTGTGCTGAATCCGAGCGTGCTACCCAAACCCGAAACTGACGCTATATCTGGTACCATCAGTCCCCACACTTTGCCAACCTGCTCGTCTGGGATCTCGCCGTGGAAGATCTTTTCGCGCATCTGAAAGAAGACGCGGCCGGTGAGCAAGCTGTCAGAGCCAGCCTGGTGGGCGGCGCCGACACGCTTCACCTTTAACGCATCGGCAATGTTCTCGAGCCCGGACTTGTGCTCAAACTTCTGCAGCACCTCGGCCGACGCCTGATCCGCCGGCATCAGCTGGCCTGAGTTGTGCAGCCGGATGGCATGCTTCATAAGGTGCTTGACATCATACGTGGACGGGAAGTAGAGCTTCATGATCTGGTCAAACTCGATCTCATCGGTCGGTAGTGGCTTGCAGTGTAGCAATTTTGTCAAGTACCCAAAGTCGTAGCCGCCGTGGAACGAGATCCAGTGTACACTCTCAAAACATACCAGACCCGACGGAATCAGCAGCGCCGCAAAGTCCACCGGGTCAATGCCGTCGCGCTCCATCACCGGAAAGTCGATGCCCGCCTGCACCAGAGAGTCGATCGATGTCTGGTTATACATGTCGTCCTTAAGCGAAAACTTGAAGTTGAACTGCCACGAGTACGGCAGCGCACCCGCCTGCATCCCGGCCCGTCGCCCGGCCATGGCTGCCCCCAGGGGGCCACTCAGCTCGACTGCAGAGTCTGCCGACACCGTTCGTGGTGGTGGTGTCTCGCCGTCTTCGTTGAAAAGCGTGATTCCAATCTGAATTACCCTGAGCAGATCCACGTTTGTCCGCAGACATTGGTAGTGGTAGTCGCTCTTGCCCCGAAAACTGCCCATTGGGCGGGACACAACGCCTGGAAACTCGGTGTCCTGCAACCCACAAAATGTCAGCCGAGAACAAAGACACCAGATGCCCGTCGTATCAGACTTACCATAGCAATATACGGATACTTGTCCACCAGGTCTCGCAACGACGCCATCTCCTCGTGCAAATTGTGCTTCCACACCTCCCGTATCCTGCCCTTGGTCTGCATCCGGCTTGGATGTAGCTCGCCCAGCACCTGCAGCTGCGGGTGGTGGCCATGGTGCTGGTGCGCCGCCGCTGCCGCTGCTGCCGCTGCTTGTACTTGTTGGTGGTGCAGCTGCTGCTGTTGCTGTTGGTGTGATTGTTGTTGCTGCGCTGCTTGCTGTGCTGCTTGCTGCTGCTGCAGCTGGGCTCCGTGGGCAAACCCCATCCGTGCCGCTTGGCTGGCGAGCCCAGATGCGTCTGCACCCACGCCTAAGCCGCCACCAGGGTTCATGCTGCCGGCCGCCGCCGCTGCTGCCGCGAGGCTCAGCGCGCCATTTCCAAAAGGGTTGTTGAGCTGAGCTGCTGCCGCTGCTGCCGCCGCCGCCGCCGCGTTGGGGTTGAGATAGGATGGCTGGCCGAGAGGGTGCTGGGCGCCAGGGTGACCGACCTGGGGATGTGTGGAGAACTGCTGGTGGTAGGAGATGGCGTTGGGTCCGCTCTGGAACCGCGACACCGGTGGAGGCATGCTATACTATTGCAGATATCTCTAGTCCCAGTAATACATGTGTAAGAAGAGACTTGAGGGGGCGGGAGAAAGTACGGTCGCTCGAATCAGAGGGATGCGTTTGCTTGTCCCTCTTCTTGTCTTATTACTTCGTGAGCCGACAAGATGAGAGGGATTGCACGAGCTTTGCTGGCAGAAAATTGACGTCAGAGCCGTGATCTTTCCGGTACAAATAGACACCAAGTGTATGCCAACTGCAGTCTCGATCAGGGACAAAGTCTGCAGTCTCTCTCCAAAACCCACCTCTAATCGTCTGCAAAGTTGCTAGCAGATTGTGAACGAGACGCGGTCGCGAAGAGTTGGATACTGCTCTTTGAACGAAAACAGGACGGTCGATTCGCAAGGCTGCGTAAAATTTCCGACGTTGTCGTGTCAATGTGCGGGTTACTGGGGAGCTGGTAGCGAGAAACAGGCACTGAATGGGGACTTTGTCATTGTCAAGTCTCTTTCGAGGGCGCTTTGTGATGTCGTCGTGGGGAATGGCAGTCCGGGTTATCTTCTAATCCGGACTCTTGTCTGGACTTACTCATATCGGCGGAGTATTTATTATGTAAGCAATGTACAAGTCACGTGCTCGATCCGCAACATGCGAGACTTACCACGGCAGGCCGCTGACGGGACCACTTGGCCCAATCCGAAGCGTTTGATTATTTTGCGGCCTTCCACCCAAAGTTAACTCTTTGATTTTCCACGTGCCGTTATCACGAATCCGCAACGTCCCGACTGCAGACCGCGCCACGCCAGCTTCCACCGCCATTGCCACTTCCGTTGTCCGTTCAATTGATCAACATGCATCCGTCAAGGTGAGTGACGGGCCGGCAATCTAGAGAGAGTGGGCATGGGAGACTGAGAGAAAGCGCAACACGGCTCGGACGACGGGGCCCAGCCAAGCTGGACAGACATGGCACAGACACAGACAGCTGACCGCTCTCTGCACAGAGCACTCCGGTCACACGGCCAGGAGCACAATATCACCGGGTTCGACATCAAGGCCCTGCACAAAGCGAGCTCTCCGCCGCGGTACGACCCGTGGGAGCGGTAGTGAGTTTCCGATCTCCCCACATCTACTGAGTCCTGCTGCTGACATTGCTTCCCTTCAGCGAGGCCTGGCGCTACCAGGGTCACTTCACTCGGTGGAACAGATTCAAGCGCGGCTTTCCCGGCCTCGGCATCGCTACGGTCGCCTTTGCCGCCTACTGCGGCTACGAGCACTTTTTTATGAGCAGCGACGACCATGGTCACAGCCACGCTGAGGAGCACCACTAAGCTGGCAGCAGGAAGCTTTTATGGGGGGTGTCTAGTGCTGCAAGTTTGAGCTCTGACTCAAGCTATCGGGAGTCGTGCTATCTTCTTGCTCCCTTGAACATGAACGAGGCAGACACATTTCGGCTAAAATGGAATAAAACATGACAAAAAAGAAGAGCAGATCACGACGGAGAAGTGCACGCGCACAGCTTTACACGCTGAAGTAAAGAAAACAAGACCAGGCGAAGGATGAAGGGCAAATAAGCAATTGTCAAAATGTCATATGATATACCGATTTTTCTCGGCCATGCACTATCGCCCCGGTCACCCTTGGCCGGCCACCGTAGCCTGCTATCGCCCAGATCCGGACTACGCTCACTCTATCTGTCAGTCTTCAGTTTGGGTCGTATCATGCATCAAATAAAAAAGAGGGAAATGAGCCAAGCGGACGCCTGCCTATTGCCCAATGTTGATCCCGTGGACCGCATCCAGCGCTCCATCAACGGCCACTTCCAGCTGGCCGACGCGCTGCTTCAGTTGCTTGTTTTCGTCGCGCAGCAAGCTAACCGTGTTCCAGGCAAAGCTAGCATCTTGACCCCGGCAGTTGCGGCAGCTAGGCAGCCCCCGGACCTCAGGATCGTCCTCCTTTATGGCTGACGTCACGTTCTTAACAAGTTTTTGAAACGGGTTCAATGGAAGTCCGGATGATGAAACGGGCTGCTTGCTTGCTCTTGCAGAGGACGAGCCCAGCGCTGCAACACGTGGGTGTGCTGCCATTGCTGAGGCCGGCGCTGCCACCGGTGCCAGCCCATCGACGCTGTCGCAGTTGCCGTTGATGCTCACGGCCGCAATAGTGGGGCTTCGCGAGCGGGAAAATACGCTGCTCTCGTCGTCAGGCGTGCTCTCTTCACCCTCGTCCGAATCCTCGTAGCTGCCGTCGGACTTGAGGCTCTTCCGCCACCTTTGCTGCCGTTGCTGCTGCCTTTGTCGCTGCTGCTGCCGCTGGGCTGCCTCGACGCCCAGATCTTCTGAGATGGAAATTGCGGTTGTCGTCTGATTGTCGTCGTCATCGTCATCATTATCGTCATGTCTTACTGGTACGCCAGACATGCCTGATACCAGCATCGCCCGCTCCTGGGCGCGGGCCTGTTTTTCGGCCTTCAGGTCGTCGTTCAAGACTTTCAGATCTTTCTCCTGCTGAGCCGCCCTGCTGGCCATGCCCTCCAGCTGCATCTTGAAGTTTTGCGCGCGCGTCTCGGCCTCCTCGAGCTCCTCATCGCGGGCGCTCTGGTCGGCCACTAGGTCCAACATGGCCATTGTGCGTTGCCGGTATGCGGCCTGGAAGCGCATCAGCGTACTCAGGGCGTTGGTCTCCAGAGTTTTGTAGGCTGACGGTGAAAACGCATCTCGGTCAGATGGCCGGCCTGACGGGAAAAGGGCAGCGCCAAGGTCAAGGTGGTAAAACTCATCCTCCTCCATCAGCTGCCGCCGGTCCAAGACTGCTACGTCCGGACTGCTCGGCGACGGCTGCTGCGTCAGGCGCGAGAACAACTGCGAGAAGCGCGACGGCGACGTGGCACTGGGCGGCCCTAGCGAAGGCGTAGCCGCCAAGTTGCGAGACGTCGCAGACGTCTCGCTCGCCAGCGACAAGGGCCGGCTCTTGCCGGTGTCTGCGCCCACGCGTAATGTAGCCAGCGGAGCCGGCTCTGGTGTCGCAGTTCTTATCGGCGTGCTACGACCTGGGCTGCCTGACCTGGGCTCGCGTGAGAGCCAGGAAGACAGCCCTCCTCCTGTCACAGGACTGCTGGCGTCGACGACGGTGGTGCCGATGCTGGCCGGCTTGTCTCTGTTTCTGTTTCTGCTACTCGTATAGGTTGTGTAGATATCGGCGCCTCGCCTTGTTCTGTCGTCTCCCAGGTAGGATGCCATAGTGTGGTCGTCTTGTTCGTCGTCCCCCTCGTCATCGTCCTCGTCCACGCTGCTACTGCTGATGATGTCGCTGCCGCTGCTGTCGCTGCTGTCGCTGCTGCTCCGTCCTTCCTCCTCGTCCGCGTCGTGGCCGTTGGCCTTTTTGTACGGCGGTATCGGCGGCCGGCCTGGCGTAGACTTTCGGTCTGGCGAGATGGCCCGACCCAGAGACTTGCCGATCGAGGCAACAGCCGGGAACAAGTTCGGGATAGACTGCTGGCGGTGGTGTGCAAGAAAGGTCCGTGAGGCCGTCGACAGCGAGGGGAAGGGCGACGAGGCGTATGGGGGTGGACGCAGGGGGGGCGTCCGTATTGGCAAAGGCGTTGTGATACTCCTGGACAGGGCGCAAATAGCTGGAAATTTCGCTGTAGCCGTAATCGCTGCCCGAGTAGGAGTTGTAGGAGCCGCAGCCCAGAGAAGAAGAGGAACGGAGCCCACCAGCAGCACTGCGGCCAGGGGTGGGAGAGCCGGTGCCAGGCCTTGAAGAACTCGAAGGACGGACACGCTGCGGGCGACGTGGCGACGGCGATGGAGAGGCGTTCATATTGGCAGGCGTAATGCGGATCCCCCTATTAGCATGGCCTGATAACTAAAGTGTCAGGTGGACGGGGGCTAGGGTGTCGTTGAAACAGAACTGTCCCTCGTTATAAGAGGGGCGGTATGATTACAGGGGAAAGAGGAGGAGAGAGTTGTGCCAGCTCGAGCTGCCATGAAAATCGGCCTGGAGCCTGAAGAAATGGTAGGGATAATAAATACGGCATAAACAAGTGGGAGCTGGAAAGAAAATAAGGGGGAAATTGTGTAAAAAATACGAATAAAAAAGAGCAAAGCTAAGGAGACCCTTATTAGCAGACAGACGAGGAAAGAAAGCAAGCACATAGAGTCGCAAAGCGGCTTCTCGGCTCGGTTGCACGAGTGAAAACAAACGGGCAAGAGGAGAAAGAAAGGCGGGCTCGATGGCATGCAAAGGCAATCGACTTCTCAATTGTTAGTGACGGTTGCCGTGGGGAGGACGCTAAGCGGTGGGCTTTTAACTGCGGAGTGACGCCACAGCGATCTTATAGGCGTTGCCACTACTTTGTAGGCTTCCACAGCGCACAAGCCGATACTACGGGTAATACGGAGTAACTCGTTAGCAAAAATATTGACAGAAAAGACGGGCTCACAACACCCGGCATGAGGGAAGGGAAAAAAAGGCTGACAGACGACGGGGCCAACGCAGCAGGTAGTGGGGAAGCCAGACTCCTCTTTGGGGGGCATTGGGCCAGAACAACACGATCGGGCACTGCCACGAGTGCAAGGGAGATAAGATGTGTTCGTGGTCAGAGGTGCAGTATCGAAGCCGGTGGGCCTGTCGATCCGATCTTGTCAAAACGGTAATATACATAGTACTCCGTACATAGCTGAACAGCAAAGCAGCTTTCTTTTGAGACCACTTCTTGTAGGTTGGATTGCAACACACCAGGATGCATTAAACTCGTTATAAGCCTTGCGAAGCGTCGTAAGATACAAGGGGGGGGCACCCAAAAAAAAAATAAGAGAGAAGAAAAAGGAAGAAGAAAAAAACGGCTCTCTCTCGCGGCCCGGTGAGGTGTTCCCCCTCTTCCTCCCTTTTCCCAGACAGTATGCAGCGCGGCCGGAACAAACGCCAGACGCCCATCCCGTGTATTCCCGTGCGTTTCCAGACCATTCCCCAGGACGGCAGTCACAGGCTCCCAGACGCGTGTTTTTGTGATCTTGGACAAGCTCTGTGAAAGCTCTTGGGGAGCTCTTGGGGAGCTCTTTGGCCTCTTAGACTCGTTTGAAAAGCCACATTCTCTGAAAGTCTCTCTGCTACCTCAGTAGAAGGACTCCACAATGGTGTCCTTGAGCGCCGTGTTGATGTGGCCGGGCCCCGGGTGGGCGGCACCGTCGCCGCCGAGGCGGAAGACGCTCTCGATGACGCTCAGCTCGGTGGCGGTGGTGTCGAGGCCGGTGACCGCAAGCCAGTCGTTGACGACCATGCCGCCGCCGATGACGCTGCTACCGCGGTTGACAGAGCCAGCGACGAGTGGGACCTGCAGTAAGCTCGACAGCTCGTCCTGGTCCTGCACACTCGTCTTGGGGTGCACCAGTCCACCCTGGTTAGTGAGGGCCATGTAGGAGCCGACAAGGACGTTGTCGGCGACGGTCTGGCGGAAGACCTCGACGCCGAGCACGTCGGCAATAATCTCTTCCGTCTCCCGCTCCACGTCTGGATGCACCAGCGCAATATGGTCGTTGGCCACGATCACATTGCCCAACGCCGACAGCCGCTCCTCGACTCGCCGGATCTTGATCGCGTCTGGTAGCGAGTTGCGCAGGTGCTGCAGCTCCTGGTCCGTCGTACTCGTCGGCACCAGCAGTCCGTTGCGGTTTCTGCAAGGTCAGCATCTAGGATGCGCACACTCACACATCTTCACCCTCTCTTCACTCACCCTGCTGTTAACCGCCCCACAATCCGTGTGCCTGCAATGGTCGTCCGGCAGATGGGAACGACATCCTGCAGCTCGGCCTCGAAGATGCTGTAAAAGTTCTCGCTCGCTCCAATAGCCACCAGCGCATACGAGTTGGTGAGGTTCGCAAACACGCCAACCCTGTCTCCGTCAGCATAACGGGACGCAAAAAGAAGGAAGACCGGTCCAGGGCCTACTCATTGGAATTTTCGAACTGCGCGCGAACCGCCATGATTGCTTCTGTCACGCGAGTTTTCGAGAACTGTCGGTGGGATGGAGGGGCAAACGGAAACAGGGAAAAGAGGCGGAATCACACTGTGGAAAGAAAGCCCAGATGGTATGACTGCTATCGTCCGTTCTTCTGATCGTTGGCAAGACCGTTTCGAGCGAGGTTGAGAGGAACCGGCAAACCTATTTTTTATAACGAAAGGCGGACTCGGCTCTGCTTTCTCTCATTGGCACACAAAAAAATTGGACAAACTCTTTGCAAGAAGCTTCGCCCCCCTCACCATTTCCGGCATAGCGTCGTGAACCCCACCATAGTCGTGCAGGCGAGCAGTCAGCGGCCATGACTCACAAGGCTGATATCACTGGTGCGCAGCTACATGCTACTCACAATGAGTGATAATTGGTAAATACAGAGTACCTGTGCAGGACTCCCCCCTCCTAAACGCCCATCTCATTTCGGTCGTGTCGGTCGTTTCCCCATAATCTCCTCATCTCAGCTCTAGCGAGGGAAAGTACCGCGGCCCAGCAAAGCCTTTTGCCACAACGCCCTGAATGTCAATGTTCCCAGCAATGTCCTGGCGCGGGTTCCACATTTTTAGAAGAATGTACCGCGCCGTCACAGGTGGATTGAAGCGTATGGTGCATCGCGTCCTGTTGTTCGCAATATGAAACTTGGCAGAGGGTGCGATTGTCCCTGGAACGCTGCCACTGCCACTTCCACGGCTGTTTGCAAATGGCGTGTTCGAAAATTGGGCAAACGGAGACCTACTGCCGTCCTCGTCTTCGTCCTCGTCGTCTTCGAGATCGTCCTCATCCTCGTCCTCGTCCTCGTCCTCGTCCTGCCCATCCGCGTCGTATCTGCCGTCATAGTTGCCCCGGCCAGCTCGGCTTCGTCCTTCCGTGCCCCGATCGCCGCCGGTATCACCGCGGGGAGAGTCTGGTGATGAGGCCGCAGCAGCATCCTGCAGCTCGTAGAGATCCGTGTAGTCGTCGTCCTCGTCATGTTCTTCGAAAATGTCTGCGCCACCAGCGTCCCAGGTGATGAGGTGTGTGCCGTAGGGAGAGGACTCGTCGTATGGCGGTAGCCTGCGGCGCGAGCGGTTGCGCATAGGCGTCGGGCTCCAGCCTGACGCCCCCTGTTGCCGTCCTCCCCGGCGTGCTCCCCTGGCGCTGCCGCTACCACCTCCTCTTCCAGGAGCATCGTCATTCTCGTCGTCACTACATTCGGTCATGACCTGGAAGTGGGGCGGATTGCTCGCCCCCAGTTCGCGGTGAGCCCGAAACGGCGCATCGTCATCGTAGCCGCTCGTAATGAAGTCGTAAAGATCGTTGGTAGTCCCGTTGCGGGGATCTTCATCGACAGCCGCCTGATCATTGGTGGTATTCAGATCATCGGCCAGACGCTCCGCCGTCATCCGAGCGGTAGTATACAGTCGCAAGGTGTTGAGTGTACTAGCGCTAGAAGGATGTGCAGGTGCTGCGGGTGGGGACATGCGGTCGACATGGAACTGATTCGTGCTCAGCAGCTCGTCCCTAGTCATGGAAAAAAAGACGAGGCCTTCCCGAACACTACCCATAGGCAATCTGGGTCAGTCTTACGGCCCCCAGGCACGCGTGAGGGAGAGAGGGGGAGAAGGAATAGTAGAAAGAATCCTCACGGTGATGAGTAGTTTCGGCCAGGGGCTTTGATGATCAGCTCTTTAAGGCTAAAGGTGGTGCAGCCTTGGTGCTGCAGGACAATGTTGCAACGATTCCCCTTGGTACAGTACACGGAGTTGTCGCTCTTGAGGATGTTCTCGGCGGCATAGAAGCCGCCGTCAGAATACAGGCCGCCGTCGCAGCTGACAATCTCCATGGTCAGTCGGCCAGGCTCAACCTGGCCGTAGCGGCCGTATCGGAAGCCTTTGAAGGCAGGCATGGCGGTCCTGTCAGAGTCGAGTCGGCGGCGCTTGGCCAGACGGCTGCCGTCCTCGGAGCGGGAGGATTCGCGGCGGCTGCCAGCGCCAGCTCCGGGGCGTGACGACATGTTGGTGAGAGAGTGGGGGGTTTGGTAGAGCAGATGTATAGGAGCTTGGCCGGGTAGTTGGCCGGTCAGAGATAGATCAACGGCGATGGTGCGGTCTAGCAGAGTGCGCAAGTGGGTGTTGGCATCATCCAGGCTGCGGCCTATAGCATCGAGCGTGGAGATGAGGCTGGTGACGGACGACACGGTCTGTCGAGACACTCGCCTGTCGGTGGACGATGTCGATCGGGGGTGGGAGAAGCGTTGCTGGAGCCGGGGCTGGGACTGCAGGCCAAATCTGTGCGCAGCGGTTATGAGAATGTCCTGGGTGTGTTGCCAAGAGCGGTCTGGCTCGGGAGGCATGCCCGGGCGACGCTTGTTCGCAAACGCAAGGGGCGTGTCTAGAGGGGAAGAGATGGCCGTCGGGATCAAACTCGAACGTTGTTGGGCTCCTCGTTGGTGGCAGAGGGACGGAAGTTTCTCGGGACGGCAAGGACTAGGTTCGTCAACCGATTCGGACTGGGTCAGCCCCAAGGTGTTTGGTCAGCAAAAGCGATTTCGAGTCGGTTTTCGGGCTTCCCGCAATAGGGAACACAAGGCGGGCAGTTCGAGTTCGTTTTCGTGGCGGCCACAAGGGCAGAGTGCGCCGTCGTTCATTGGAGTAAGAGGGGGTTTGTCGTCTGCGTATGATTTCTCTGCGTTATCCACTCGGCATAGAGAAGAAATAGAGGAAACGTTGCTCGGCGGGGCCGGTAGAGAGAGACAGGGCAAAGAGAGAAGCGAAGGACGAGTAAAAAAAGGGTCGGTGCGGGCGTGTTGCTGGTCGGTCTTGTCGTGCTCCGTACTCCGTATGCACACATGTATCTCCTTGGTCCTACTGGCTAGTCTGCAGAGTCCCGGCCGTGTGACTGTGAGGACGACATGGGGGAGGGGCGATCGGTTGCGTGGTTGAGTTGATGCCGGTCAGAGTTGCTGCAAACGGGCGTTTCTTTAATTTGAGTGCAACCCAGACAGTATTAAGTGTTGTTTGGCGTGCTAGAATGGGGCACTGCTCCGCACATGCATGGAGGGGCTGGCGGGCACAGTTTAGCATGCAGGTTTTCGCTAGTCCTGTTACATGCATAGACGGAACGGAGTACGGATAACACGTTCTTATTAGCGAGGCTGTCTTCACTAATATCGGCAGCCACGTTTTTAAGCCTGCCTTAAATTCTTACATAAAAGTAAGTTGACCTGACCGCAAGGTGAGCTCGCCAAGCCTGCCATTTTCCTGTTGTCTAGCCTTCTGGCGGCCTGGACAAGATCTCGACACCCGCTCACAAAAAGGCTGAAAGCTGAAGGCCGAAGCAAAGCAACAGACAGCCTCGACTAGCTGCGCCAACCACCTCTACCACCTCCCAACATGGGCCCTCTGCAACAGCCCGGCCAGGGCCTGGTGACGGTGCTTCCCTTTTCCCAGCCGTCGCCGTCAGCTGCGGCAGCAGCAGCGGTAACGCCCAACGGAACGTCTAGCCGGCCCGTGCCTGCAGAGTCTGGAGAACGTGCGATGACCGAGGGTGTGTTCTCCCTTCTTCTCCCCCTTGCCCCAAACACATATTCACCCGGTACTGCAGACGAGATCGCCCTGTACGACCGTCAGATTCGCCTCTGGGGCATGCGCGCGCAGGAAAAGATACGATCGGCCCACGTGCTGCTCATCACGATGCGCGCCCTCGGCAACGAGGTGGCCAAGAACCTGGTCCTGGCCGGCATCGGTGCCCTGACGATTGTGGACCCAGCGTGCGTGACCGAGGCCGACCTGGGCGCGCAGTTTCTGCTAGGGACGGCGGCGGCAGGGAGCGCGGACGCGGTGTTAATCGGCGAAGCTGCCAGTGAGGCTGAGCGAACAGCCGCCGCGACAGCAGCAGCAGCTGTGGTCTTGGGCACTAACCGGGCGACTGCAGCGAGCGGACCACTGCGGCTGATGAACCCGCGCGTGCGCATCTCTGTCGACAGCGCAAGCGACATTCGGAAGCAGGCCCCGGGCTTCTACGCCGGTTTTGACCTCGTCGTGGCCACCGACCTGGACCCGGACACGCTCACGATTGTCAACACGGCCACCCGCATCGCTGACCGACCACTCTACGCGGCCGGCACTTACGGTTTTGCCGGCTTCATCTTTGCCGACCTGATCGAACACGATTTTGTCATTGTGCGTGACCGCGCCAACGTGGCCGCACAGCCGGGCGTGGCCGAAACTCGCACCCGCACCATCGTCGACGTGCAGCAGCAGCCCGGCAGCAAGGAGGCCGTTACCAAGCGCGAGCTCTACTCGACCTGGCTGCTTGCTTCTGACGCTGCCGGTTTGCCCGACGCCATCCGCCGCTCCAATCGCCGCCTCCGCAACGTCAACGCCACGCTTCCCTGTCTGCGCGCCTTGTGGGAGTTTCAGCAGCTGCATCCCCAGCAGCGCCTCCCCAACCCAGACCTCTCCGCTGACCTCGCCACCTTCACCCGCCTCGTCGGCCGCAAGCAGCAGGCCCTCGGCATCCCCCCTATCTCCGCCGAGCGCATCCGCCTCTTCCTCCAAGGCATCGCCGCCGGCCTCGGCTCCGAGATCTCCCCTGTTGTCACCGCCGTCGGTGGCGAGCTTGCCCAGGACGTCATTAACTCCCTTGGCCACACCCAACAGCCCATCCAGAACCTGCTCGTCTTTGATGGCGCCAACGCCCAGGCCCTCACCTACGCCCTCCACCCCGAAGGCCCCCTCGGCCGCCAGCTGCTCGCGGCCGCCACTAAACCCTCGCCTGAGACCGCTGCCCGCGCAATGGCTGCTGTTGTGGCTGCGTCGGCGGCCTGAAAGTCGCAGAGAGACAACGATACAACGATACTACGTTACAGCGTTGCAATTGTCACTGCTCTGTACTCATTGCTCAATGCTTATGATTATATCCTCTTTCCTGCAGATCTTTCATAAACAAGGCTCTATGCTTCTCTTCCTGCAGCTTCCTTCTGCAGCTTCCTTCTGCAGCTTCCTTTTCGCCTTACAAGCCAGACATGTTGTACAAGAGTCATTGTAATCAAAACAAATACCAAGAACCCGAACCAGCATGTGAGCTTTTACTCTGTTACTCTGCTCTTCTCCCCTTCCAGCCCGTCCTCCTGCTTTCCCCTGCCCTGGTCCCTCTCTACTTCTCCTCCTTCTCCCATTCCGATGCCATCTCCTGCTTCGTCCCGTTCCGGCTGCGCTTCACATTGTTGTGTGCCCACCCCCGAATCGCCTTTGGCCCGTGGCTCGGTGGCGGCTCCACGGCCGCGTAGTCCTTGATCTTCTCGTAGTCGTACGGAACTGTACGCAGCTCCCGGTTGGCCGTCGCGATGCTGATCGGTGTCGCTGCGATCCCCAACGGCCCAATCGTGCTCACTCCGCCGATGCTGCTGTTGCTGCTGCTGCCGTTGCTGCTGCTGCCACCACCGCCACCGACACCGTCACCACTGCTCGCCCATCCGCTGCGCCGTGTTGCGACCGGCGCTGGCTCCAGCTTGCGGTACTTGCCGTTGCTGTTGCTGCTGCCGCCACCGCCACCACCACCCTGCTCGCCGCTGCCGCCCGCCCCCGGAGGCGGGGTTCCTCCTCTTGCAGCCGACGGCAGTGTCGCTGGCACCGGCAGAGATGCGACGGGTGTATGCCGGCCACTGTGGCGGGACTGGCCAGGTCGCTGCTGCTGCTGCTGATGTGGTGGCTGCGCCCCGTTCATGTGTGCCGAGTACATCTGGGGCGACATATTGTGCGAGTGTGCCACCTGCATGCGAGGTGGCCCATAGCCGTTTGAGTACTGCCGCAGCATTGGAAGGGTATGCTGGCTTGCCTGTTGACTTTGCTGCTGCTGCTGCTGTGGCTGATGCAATTGTTGTTGCTGTTGTTGGATCGGCTGAGGCTGTGCTGTCGGGGCGGGTGGAGACAAGTAGTATGCCGACGGCATGTCCATTGCCGACAAGCTCTGCATGTGTGGCGACGGGAGCGAGTGGCGATGTGTCGACGGTGGCGGTGGACCGTAGGCATTGTTGGCCTGCGGCGCCGGCCCATACGGATGATGAGATACGGGGATAGCCTGGTTAAGCGCCGTGTGCAGAAAGCTGCGCGATGGCTGGTGATGGTATCCGTTAGAGCCGTAGCCGTTGATAGCCAGGCTGTGAACCGACGCGTCGGTAGGTGGCAATGGAGCACCGCCAGTCTCCCCGAATAGGCGGGGGTCCAGAGGTGGATTCTCTGGATTGTGGTGCGAGTTCCGGCGCGAAAGCGGGAGCTGGTGATGTTGCTGCTGTTGCGGTTGCTGTTGGTGGTGATGGTGGTAGGACGGCGAGTGCTCTATTGACGGGCGTCGTGGTGCATACTCGGCCGGTGTGGCTGATTCTCCCGACAGCGTCGACTGCTGGTATGAAGGGTACTGGCATTGCGGCTGGTGCTGCATCAGCGGCGGTGCTCGTGGTACGTGGCGCATCGACTGCGGATAGCTGTACGACGGCATGTACTCCCGGTCCGAGGCCAGGCTCGCAAAGTACAGCAAGCCAGAAACGTCCGCTGCATTGAGGCGGCTGTTGGCGGCCGACATGGAGATCGTGTTGTCGCTGCTGTTTCTTCGTCGGTCCTCGTCAGGCGAACGGTCCATGAACACATCCCGGACCGGGTCAAAGGGCCGCGACGACGTGGAACGTCGGGGCGCCGGCACCGGTGGCGTCGACGGCCCACAGATCGGGTAAGCAGAGTGCAGAGCCGTCGCTAGAGACGGAACACTGTCTCTGTCCGTCTCTACTGCAACTGCAGCCTCGAGCAGAGTGCCCAGGAACGCGCTCGCAGCTGCAGCATCCCTTTCGTCCTGTTGCTGTTGCTGTTGCTGTTGCTGCTGCTTCTGCTGGCCATCCACGTCGCTCTGTCCCTCGTGCGACTCCTCTGCGTCTGCATCGACACCCGCGTCTGCTCCTGTCGCCGATTTCTCTTCTTTCTCCTTACCCTCCTCCTCTGTGTCGTCACGCGGACGGCAGGGGCCCAGCCACCGCTTGAGCACCTGCTGCCGGAAAGCTTCGACCACCTCGGCCGGCGGCTGCACCTCGCTGTCACCAACGCCCTCGTGCTCGAGAAATTTGGAAAAGGCTCCGAACAGCACCGTCTTCTTCGCTGACGCGTCAGCCTCGTCCTCCAGCCGGGCGATCCTGTTTGACCGCGACGCGTTCAGCGTCCGGCCTCCCGGCGTGTAAAAGACAATGGGCCGCGAGCCCGACTTGCGCTCCCGCGGCGGCTCCTCCTCGTTCGTCGACGACCGTAGGAAAAGGCCGTACCTGGGGTGCAGACTGTGCTTCTTGATCATTTCCTCGTCCAGGTCCCCGTCGTCGTACGTCGTCGCGTCAAACTGCCACAGCGAGCGGTCAAAGTGCATCGTGTTGGAATTGGGCGTGTCCAGATACTTGCCTCGCTTCGCCTTGGTTGCACCGCGCGACTTGTCGTTGGCCGAGTCCCGGAAGCCGATCTCGTGCGGCTCAAAGTCGAAGAGCGATGGCACCATAATGCGGTTGTACACGTCCAAGTTGGCTGTGCGTCGCTTGTTCACCAATCGCACTCCAAAAGCGTCTGGCTCCGTCACCCCAGTCGGAAGTGGCGGCAGCTTCTTGACCTCCGTCGGCCGTGCAGCCATGCCGACTCCGTCCTCGTCGCCCGCCGGCACATCCTCAGCCTCGTCCTCCTCCATCATCTCCTCTTCGCCCTCGGCCAAGACTGGACTAGGTGACGGTACCTTGGAGTCACCCTCTAGCGTGCCGGAAGCTTCCGCGTCGGCCTCTGCTTCTGCTTCTTCCTCTGCGTCGTCCTCCGTCGGAGGCAGCACGGCCGACAGCAGACCACCAATGTGGCGCGGGGCCAGCGACGAGGTCCCCTCGTCCGCTGTTCCAGCAAGCCTTTTGGCCGGTGGCTGGACATCAGCATCGTCGTCCGCCCTGCGCTTCGGTGACGGCTTGTACGCGCCGTCACTGGCGGCGTCCGACGGACTCGTGATCCTCACCCTCCATCCAGTCATCACCTTCGCACACGGCACCTCTACCTTGTTGCCATACACCGGGTGGGTGCCCAGGTCGGTACGGTACTCTACGTGGGCCTTGACATCAAGGAAACGCTCGTCGCTGACTTCAGAGAAGTTCCACGTGGCATCCACAATCTGGGTCGTTGTTTAGCCTCCAGCCAGCGAAGCCAACAGCAGAGCATCAAGCATGGTGCAACTCACATTAACGGGCAGATCAAGATCATGCAGCTGCTCGAGTAAATCGAGTCGCCGAATCTGTGCATCCAGGAAGCGGTCGGTAGCATCGTTGCAGTCTCGCTGCAAGTCACGTGTTAGCGCTCGACACCCATTTTTTCCCGCGTGTGGCTGACAGCGGCTACATACGACAAAGTTCGCCATAGTCATGGTACGCGATTCCAGATAGATGTAGTTGTTCAGCCGGTTGCTCAACTCGAGCCGGTTGTTGTAAGCGGTCAGTTCCTGACGGTGGCGGCCATCAAGGAACTGCTGGACGTCCTTAAACTCGTGCACCTCCTGGAAGGCGTTGGAGCTGCTCTTCAGCCGGCCGAGGCTGCGGTCGCCCAGATCCTCCAGGGCCGGGCGTAAGGCGCTGGCCACGGCCGAAAAGGCGGCCTTAAGCTCTTTGAGGCGCTCCGACGCCGCCTGCGGCTTGGGGTGGTCATACAGCTTTTGGCGGCCACGCCGGCCGTTGGCAGCTTTCCGCTGTTGGGCCAGACGAGCAACGTGAGCGCGGACGGCCTGTGAGCGGCCACGACCACGGCCCCGGCCACGGAATGATGGAGCTGGATATGAATGCGGCTCGCTCATGGTGCCATGTGCCGTGTCGTGGGTGTTGGGCTGTGGTGCGGTGCGGTATGTGAGATGACAGGTAATACGGGAGGGCGATGAAAGACAGGAGGCAATAAGAGGCGGTAACACGCCAGGAAGGACCACCAATACAGCGAACGTGCACGACAAGGGAAGAATAGGAAGAAGCCCAGGTAATCTGTGGCAGCGACGGACTAAAAAGATAGACAGAAAAAGTGAGAAGGCCGAACGTGGATGAGAGTGTGTGTTGTTCCTCAGAAAGGAGCGAAAAGAGAAATTGACGGATAAGGGAGAAATGAGAGAGGGAAGGGGAGAGGAAAAGGTAAAGAAGACGGGGCCGGTCAGATGGCCCTCAGATAAGCGAAGAATTAAGAGGCAACGAAGGCAAGTCTGCCGTGGCAAAACGGCTGAATCGGACAAGGGAGGATATGCAGCGGTTGTGAGCAGAAGCCGTGGAGAGGAGAGGGAAAAAATTAGACTCGAAAAGATACCGAAAAAAAGGGCACAACAAAGCAAACACCAGCAGCGCTCGCCAACGACAACAACAAAATACAGAGGAGCGTGCCGGTGCGCCCGGGTCGACAGAGAATCTGGTCTGGGTGGCTTTTCACAAATCGCTCTCGCATTCGCAGAGTGTGTCGCAGGGTAGACGTCTCGGGGCCTCAGATCACAATACAAGTTGATGGGATTTGGCTGCGCCGGACAATAAGATCTGATTTTCCTCTCTCAATAACACCAGCACACAGCAGCCGCATCCACAAGACTGTAAAAAAGCGGACCCGCAGCTCCATTGTACCTCCGTACCTCTACGCCAACCACGCTGCCTGCTCCAGCAAGGCAATCACGCTACCTCTCTACACCCTCTACATAAGTGTCGGAGCCCGGATTTACCATTTTGCCAGCCAATTAAAGCCATCATATGCTTTCCCAGAGCGCTGGTTAGCCTGTCGCCGGGCAAAGGTACCGGATACCTCTGCCGGCTCGTGCGTCCTCCTTATAAGCCCCTTTTCTTTGTGTCGCGCGTTGCCTTGCTCTTTTAATAACAGCATCCTCGCCCGGCTTGCTTGCTTACAGAAGTTCAAAGACGCTGACAATTGTTTTTTCATACTCGCGAAGCACCTTTCAATGGCGCTTATCTTTGCGGGTGTCGTTACATCAGCCATTGTCTTGCAGAGGATCATTAAGTAAGAGGAGCATACGGATTCTCGCAAATGCACTCGTCCGGTAGTGCAGTTCGGCTTTCGTAGTGTATGCGGCTTGGTCAGTCTAGGAGAAAATGCTGAGACTGTATCTTCAAGACAACGTATCTTATTACATACTCCGTACTCCGTACCGCTGTCCATTCGTTCAGACGGACGCACGGCACGCTGTTGATCAATTTCCCGTGCGTCGCCCATTTACTCTCTGAAGAGTGAAAAGGTATACGGTACCTAGCACTCATCCATGTCTCATCCGCCATAGTTTCCCTGTCCGGCCCACTAATTGCCTGGTGCGCTTAGGCTGTAAAGCGGGCGGTAGTCGCCCCGCTCTGATCGCTAAACACCGTTGCGGGAAAGTCTGGCCAAGCAGATACATGCATGTATACGATTGTCCGCATTTTAAGCTTGCAAAAAAGTTATCACAGGTTCAATTGGAGGCGACTTATACGGGCTCCCCACAGCCGACAACGCCCACCGCTCCATCTTCGCCCTTTCCTGCGCGCAGTCTTCTCCAGCCATGAGCAAGAAGCGGAAGCTCGGCCGCATGGCAGCGAAGCCGTCAAAACAGCTCCGATCAGGCAGCAACGCGAGCCAGGGTCAGGCCAACAAGAAGAAGCCACCACCGAGCGGTCAGAGCAACAAGGCCGCAAAGCGGCCCGCTAGCAAGAGCGGTGGCGGCAGTGGCGGCGGCGGTGGCGGAAACGGCAGCAACCATCCTGGCGCTGCCACCGCGTCTCCTACGCCCGCTCACAAACGGCCGACCATCCCCTTCCAACCCGACGACGATGTCATCCTGCTGGTTGGCGAGGGCGACCTCAGCTTTGCAGGCGCACTCGTCGACCACCACGGCTGCACGAACCTGACGGCCACCGTTCTCGAGCCCGGCCCCGATGCCCTTGCTGCCAAATACCCGCAGGCAGCAGCCAACGCAGCTCGCGTCCTCGCCGGCGACGGTCGCGTGCTTTACGGCGTCGACGTCCGGACGATGGGCACAGCGGGCAGCCCGCTCAAGACTGGCGGTGGTCACCAGCCCAAGTTTGACCGCATTTTGTTCAACTTCCCGCATGTCGGCGGCAAGAGCACTGACGTCAATCGCCAGGTGCGCTACAACCAGGAGCTGCTCGTGGCCTTTTTTCGGCGTGCCATGGCCCTGCTAGCCCCTGGCGGCTCTGTCATCGTCACCCTGTTCGAGGGCGAACCGTACACGTTGTGGAATATCCGCGATCTCGGCCGCCACGCCGGCCTACAGGTAGAGCGCAGCTTTCGCTTCCAGGCTGTCGCCTATCCGGGCTACCATCACGCTCGAACACTTGGAGTGGTGCGGCGACGACAGCAGCCGCGGAAGAACGGTGGTGGAGGAGACGGACACGATGGAGATGCAGACGATCAAGATGGCAAAGACGTGGACACTGGAGACAAGAACGACAAGCACGACGACGACGACATCTCTACCAGCGCCTGGCGCGGCGAAGATCGCCCGTCTCGCAGTTTTGTGTTTGTTCGCAAAGACGAGGTTGTCCAGCCACCGGTTGAGAAGAAGAGAAAACGTCCCAGCGACAGCAGCAGCGATGACAGCGACGGTGATGATAACTGAGCAGATCCTTCTAATTATAAAGTATCGAGGAAACTACTACTTGAATGATACCATGCCGCAAGGCAGTCTTTCAAGAACCAAACTAACTTTGTCAAATGCATCATATGTCCCGTCGTCCTGCCCCGATCTTCCGTTAATTATGCCTTTGGTAGGACCGACTGAAGTTAGGTTTCCAGGCAAAAGAACGGTCTTCCGTCTTTAAGCGTAGGCACAGGACAGTATAACGCACTTGATCGTCAAATTGGACATGTATACAGACATGACTATTTCTGTAAGGACTACAAAACACTCATAAATACTACACGCGCATCCGCAAAGCCCGTAGCGTAAGCTATCTTACAATTGGGCTCCGCATAACCTAATTCGGTTGTTTCAAATAGTACACTCACCAAGGACAACGTCATATTTAGAACCAAAGTTTAAGAGTGCTGGTCGGTCCCACAAGGAGAGGGGGGAAGGAAATATGACAGAGTGAGATCCAGAGTGGCTGAGACAGATCACCGTGATATACACCGTACTGAGTACATCTCTCGTCCCTCTTCTCTAATACTCTCTAGTCCTTCTAACGCTACCCCGCCACTTTTTCTTTGAGTAGCACCGCCAATATATTGCTTCTCCACATCAGTACATATCACGGCCCAATGTAAAGGCAATATGAGTCATGATACGAGCGAGCGTAAGACGAGGACGTATATCGTGTACTGGGGGGGCTGATTTCTTGTATCTGTAGAAAACCTGTCACAATATCGCTTTAGCAGTCCTATTTTGTACGTCAGCTAGCCACCTATGATAATTCAATAACATTAGGGCCATGTAGGCAGCCGGGCGTCAATCTACAAGGCGTGCTATGATGATAAACACACACCGTCCCTGCAACTTCGACCACTACCGCATCTCACCTTTCAAATTTTAAGCCAGTCTCAAGTGACCGGGCCATTTTTAGTGGACGAGATGCAGCTTACAGAAAATACAGGAGCAATAGTCGGTCATCGGGCTAACAAATAGCGAACACTGTGGTGATACGCAGGTAGCGGGTCTCAGGCAATAGCCGAGGCTCTTTTACAAGTTATAAGAATTGCTGAAGAACACTTTACGGCTCTATGGAATAAACAGGCAGCAAATACAACTGCCAGAAAATGGCAACAGACGCAAGTAATCGGTTTGCCCATGTGATACTTGCCAAATTATCAAAACTCGGTGTATTATGCATGTTTCTCCAGTCATAGACTCATTGCAGAAACACAAAAAAAGACATACCAAAGCAAAAGCCACGAAACAAACTCCTTCCCGTCCCATAACTATATAGTTGCCCAGTACCTAAATGCTCTATTTCTGCATGAAGCGGTCCTGCTGTGATCTGTGCACTTATTACCCATAGCGTGCCTCTCAGAAGGGTCAACTAGTCAAAATGAAACTCATAGTATGAGACTAAACATATAGTGATAACTTTCAGATGCAAACCCGCCGCACCTTAATAACCACGAAGTCATTGACCGCATCTGACCCGTCGCCGTAGTCCCCTGGTTGAAGCTCCGTGAAATGTAACAAAGCAGGCAGTGCCTGTCTCCATGCCACTCACCATTGGCCAAACTTTCCGAAGGGCATCAACAAGGCGAAAGCACCGATTATTAGAAGGGTGAGAAAGAAAAAATAGCCGGTTGCAGAAGCTGGGAGGCGCAAGATGCAACTGTTGGAGTGAATTCGGAGTGGTGGAGATGGCATCTGAAGGAAGTATTATCGTTCGGATCCGCCGCACAAGCTGGAAACTCTAGCGCAAATGGCTCCTAGTCTGTTCTACCTTCAGGCTGTGTGGCGGCACAATCCTTGCTTCATGTTGGGTCAAGTGTAGAGGGTAGCCACCTTGCGCATTAACGGTACCAGGAGCCGGTACGTTGCCAGGACGGAACAAGCCATCGTGGGGTGTCTCATACGAGTTTCGAGGAAGGTCAAAAGGGTGTCCGATATACCCTGGCGGCCCCTGAGGGGGTATGGAAACCGAAGATTGCGGAACAAAAGAGCCGTGCTGAGATTGTGCCTGCGCTTGAGCTTGCTGCGGCGTAAAGGCATATAATGGCGAAGCGCTTGGAGCAGTTGTACCGTGTTGCCAAGCTTGATACACAGAAGGCGTCGTTGTCGTACCGCCAAACTCGCCCGTCGGACTGAAGAGCGACGACCGTCTGCTAGTATCGTGAGGATCAGGACACATTTCTTGCAGAGGCAAGCTACTATGCCCGCCTGCCATCGAGCCCTGGCCACTGCCAACCGCAATGCCACCGCTGCTGTCCACGTAACTTGCATGCTGCTCGCCTCCAATGTCGGGATGTAACAAGAGTGGAGGTGGGAACGGCGGGTGACTGCGATGGGGAAGCTCTCCCAAGAACGGCTGTCCTGCGGGACCAGATGGTAGGGTATTACCAGAGCTGTGCTCGCTAGGTCCTGTTGGAGAGACTGTCGAGGACAGGCCAGAAGACGAACCACCAGAAGACTGCATTATTGCTTGAGCGGCGCTCGGTCGATGAGCTGAAAGCATCGTGACAGACATCGCATCATCTTCGTCTTCTTTCATCGGAGACGCATCCTCGTTGTCTGACAGATAGTTGTCTGGAATCTTATCGTCGCTCATGACATACACACTCGTTGAACCGTCTAAAAGGGAAAAAACAAAAGATCAGATAAAGTGGTCCGCAAGAGATCGGTACAGGAATGTAGTGATCGTTGTCAAGGCATACCTATTTCGTCTTTGAGGTATTTCTCCTCATTTCTTGCGAGAAGGAATATCTCTCTCAAATATGGCCGCTTTCGTGCATTGTTCGGGGCATCCTTGTCGGCGAAGAAGCTCGAAAGCGCCTCGTTTGTGGCTTCCTCAAGCTTGGCCACGTTCAGGTGAAGCTTCTGAATATCTGGGTGCTGCTTGGCAACTGGCAACACAACCATGCGCAGAATGTGCTTCAGAAGATGAACGCGTTCTAGTCTGAGTTAGCCATAAAGGTCTAATTTTTGCAAAACATAGCCAGAAATTCATTGCTGCTAACCCTTTTTGTACAGATGATCGGGCTCCTTGTGACGGACCCTCTCATCCCGGGATGGCCCCCATGGCTTTGGCCACCAATCTGGTGCTTTTTCGTCACTGCCCGTGTAAGGGTGGGTGGACTGCTTCTTCGGCTCAACGAGCTTGACCCAAGCCTTTGCAATGAGCTTGCAGGCAGTTTGCTGAAGACTGCGGAACCGCTGATCGTAGATATTCCAGATTGCCTGCTGGTCCTGGACTTGCACAGGCATTTTGGTGGGTTGCGTAGTCCGTGCGGGTAGCTCATCGATCATCTCCGCAGCCTGTCGGGAAGTGCCAGCTTTCAGCCGCTTTCGCTGCCGGTTGACTTCTTCCTCGAAAGGGCTAAACCCTTGCATGCGTCGACGTTCCGTAGGGCGTCGTCCATCATACTCCATGCCAATTCCAAGTCCTTGGGCAGTGATAGGAACCTGTCCCTGGCGGCTATAAGGGCGAGCCTCCGGACGAGAATAATCATTGAAACTAGCATCCTGGTCTTCTAGAAAATGAGCTGTTCATGAACACGTTAGTGCTTCTGCTTACAGTCCGACTATGTCCTTTAGACAAGCCCAGCCGTTTTATGACTTCACATACCTGGCGGCGAATTCCCTGTAACGCAATGCACCCATTTATCCATGCTGAAGAATTCCGGTATCTTCTCTTTGTACTCTGTAGGCCCTGAAAATGTCACGGCTTCTCCACTGTCCAATATTGCAGAGACAAAGTAGAATTGGGCTGGGATCCTGCATTGTTCACGAAGTGCCCGATCAATGCTCTAATCAGGGTTGTCAGCCAAGTCTTCGATGCAGTGTATGGCAGTGGCCTCTAAATGCCTATAGCTTCTGCCATATTTATGGCAAACTCGCTTTGTGGGAGAAAGCTTACTAGTGGCCGTGATAAATCGCTGGGCTGCTCATGGAGATCGTGGTGCTCCTGTTGTTGATGATATCTCGTATTGTTGAAGGCATTGTCGTTCGATAGGGGCCGATCAGATTGCCACTGAGGGCGGTGCAGATAGTCTCGCTGCCACTCGCGACCCATGGTTGGCGTTGTTGTCGTTTCCACGGTTCCGTTGGTAAAACTTTGGGCAGGCGAGAGGTGAAGAGTACTATTTTGACAAAAATAACCAAAACTGCGGTCCAGACTTTGAAATAGGGTGCGACTATACTTTCGTTGCGATAATCTGGCGCTGTTGCTTGTTATGGTGTTATGAAGACTGCGAGTATCGTTGAGCTGGTCGGCTTGATCTGTGGCGTCAACCACTTCACATATAGTAACGGTGACAGCGACAGGTGAATTATGGTTGTCCGGGGTTTTCTCGTTTTTTTTCAATTCAATTACAGAGATGACCCCTTGAGCATTGGCTGGCCACGGTATGCGATAGGGTGGGCAGAGAACCTGGAGAGACAAGTATCGTAATCGGCGAAAATAGCAAATGTAGATGGTATCGAGATGGATCGGTCCAAAAAGAGGACGAATAGGTCAGAAAATTGTAATTGCAATGTCAGAGGTAGACGATGTTGAAGAGGGAACGCCTCTAGGTCACAGGAGATAGAATGAAAATAGAATAAATAAACCACCCGATAAAGGCGACCTGTTGGTCCGAATCGGCGACAAAAGAGGCAGATTGCCGACCTTGGGCTATTGCATACTGGGAGGGAAAGTCGGTTGTTGCAATGAAGCACAAGGAGGCAGTGCTGGACAATATAGGCTTGGTTGTAGCTTCAATCAATCGAGAAGTAATAAAGTGAGAGAAAGTGGGTTGTGAGAGGGAGGCATCTGAGAAATTAAATAAGGACTGGGAGGGGAGGGGAAAAGGTATACAAGAAGCCAGTCTCTCTTTCAGATACGGGGCAAGGGTGACGGAAAACAAATGCAGTACCCCCGTACTCAGTCGACGTCCAGAGCAACGAGTACGAAGAGGCAGCAAGAGGACAGCGTTCGTGTGCGTATCTGGTTGTGTGGTAGGGTCAAAAAATGCAGACAAAATAGACCCCGGCCTAGTACATTGGCGGACGAAGATGGAGCACGACGGGAAGAACGGGAGTCTGCCAGGTCGCAGCAAGGCAGTGAGTGGTACCAGCAATCTATCTGCGCCAGAAAAGATGCAAGCAGGGGTTAAGAGGTGGAGAGGATTTCGTTGGTTGCCTGAGATTTTTCCGATCCTCCACTCTCGCTGATGTGCAAGGTCTCCAGATGAGGTAGAAAGAGAGAGAGAAAGCAACAACAGGCAAGAAAAGAGAAGTAGAGGGAAAGCAACGGGGAGAGCGACCGCGGTGGGGAGAGGGTTGATAAAATTTTATGACCAGTCTTCGTTGGGTGGATCAATCTAGATTGAAGACCTCAAGCCGGGGGGCGGGGGGGGGGGGAGATAGACGCGGATGAGCTGGACGGGGAGAATATGCTTGGCAGAGGGAGGTGATGCTCGAACGAAGAAGGGAGGTGGACAGAGGTAGTTCATGGAGGTAAAGTTGTGGTTGACCGAGGTTCTGAATAGAGGCTGCAATGTCTTCGTTTCCCTCGCACAGCTGTAAGACATCGGAGAAGTGCCAGGAGAAGCCGGGGTGGAGGGGGCTGCGGTATTTGCCAAAACCGTGGGCGCTCTTGGCGAGGTCGGCGACGTGTGAGGACGAATCCTTCACTCGCTCTATTTACCCGTGCTCGCGCTCTATTATGGGGATGGCGAGGCGTACGAGTAATCGCAGTTGCGGGCTGAGACGAATATCTTGCCGCTATGTTATTTTGGGTGAGGTGCACTGATAGGTGAACAGAGAAGCGTTCAAGGATATGTCACCCGGGTATACATCTTAGTAAAGGGAAGGGGGAGCATATAAGAGGGCCGATTTCCGCACAACACAGGCTAGCCAACTGGACGCACTGGTAGGCGGCCTTGATGGAGTCAACTGCGTGGAGTTAGCTAGCGGACAAGGGTCAAAGGCCAACGGCAAGGATGTTTGAGAGGAGCTAGTTGGCGGTAGTTGTCGGGTCCAAAAGCGTTTGGGGTGGTGTGTGCAGGCCGCAGATGAGCTGCAAGTGCGGGTGAGGGTGTGCGCGTGCTCCATACATAGCATGCAGATGGAGAGGCTGGGCAAAAAAAAAAAAAAGAGAGAAATGACAGAGCGCAACCCCAGCAAAAATGCGGATTAGGCGACAGGGAGGGGACAAGGGTGGGCAAGAAGAGACCGTCAGATGAAGATATCAGCTGGAGGTCTCATTTGATTCAGCGACATGTGTAAGAGAGGCAGCCAGCAATGGTGTTTGGTAACGGAAGTCTGCTCGAACGTTCTGCAAAGTTTGCCATGGTCTACCGTTTCCATCAAGGGTTGGGGCTTCACGGCACCCGTGACAGACTGTCGAGCCAGCAGAGGCTCGTGAATAGGTGATCTACTCGTACCGTTTTCGATATGGAACGATGCGGGAGAGGCCGGACGTGGTGCCTAGACCGCCGCTGCGGCAGTGCTTGTCTGGTTCAGTGGTGAAGACGCTGGCAGGGGCTGCTCTGCGGCCCGGAAGGCCGGTGGGCGGCAGGTGATAGACGTGCAAGCTTATCAATGCCGTGAAGACCGGGCGTACAGGCAGCAACCCTTCAAAGAGGACACGCCCCTTCTTGTCTGTTCCACAAGACAGCTCAGCTGCTCGTTGGTGTGGTGTGCCAGGAAATGTCTCTTACTCCCGGACGAGGAGAAATGGACTGAGGCTGTTGGTGACGGCCTGGAGAAAGTAAAACAAAATCGGGTGTCGAGGCGATCGAATATCCGGTCCTAGACCCTTGTCCCGACTGCCTGGAGAGTTTGTGGGTACGAATAGGTGATGGACAGCAGCTATTACATAGTACTCCGTATGAGGGGATGCAAGTAGCGAGGAAGGACAAAAAAAAGTGACCAGCTGCCCGGCCTAAGCTCCATGGAATGCTACTCGTACATACATAGTACATACGACGTAGTAGCAGAAGGCCGGGATCTGGACCCGGTTATGATTTTCACTATCCCGCTATACACGGAGTTCATACCTCGTAGTAGCCGGCCCATGTATTTCAGCCGAGGCAGTAGGCCGCCTGCTTTGAAGTGATTCGGCCGGTTTCCCTTTGATGATCGCACTACTATGTAGATTAGAGAGGCTGGCGGGCAGGGGACAGGAAGAAACAGTGATGCTCCAAGTGAATACGTCGTACGCGAGATACTTTCTTGCAGGCGTCCTCGCATGGAGCATACGCCCATGCCCGAGAGGGTCTACGACGTATGTCGGGCCAGGGGGTAGGAGGGGCGTCGTTCCCCACCCACACCACACCCCTCTACTCCGTACATAGTACTTCAGTCCGCTCTACTGAGTAATGTTGTACGGAGTACTTGCATCTGTATCCACAACATCGAACGACGAATGCGTGATGGTGTATGAGAAAAAGTGTGGATGGATGCGAGTGCGATGAAAGACGAGAAGTGACTGGGCACTACATGTTTGTGCTTGTGCAGATAGAAACGAAGTTGCAAAGGAAAAGACAATTTAGCTGATTAAAAAATTAGTACGTCGTACGTAGTAGGAAAATGCCAGCGCCGTGATGCCTGAGGAAGCATGAGAAACTGGCTTCGTACGATTGCTCCTGCCCCTTCTCCCACTGGCACTCCACAAAGTGTGTATTACCTGTCGTACGTACTATGAAAGGAACGGGCGCGCGGTCTAGCACGGCCACCTTTTGCGGCCGGCATACGAGTACTGTGTACGAGTGTTGATTCAATCGTATCGACACTGTGCCTTGCAGCAACTTGGGTCTTTTATGCGGCAATCGAGCGGAAACGGAGAAGGGGCCTGCAGTCGTAGTCGTCCGTAATTTGGAATGTGCCTTTTTATATTGAGAATTCGTCACTTTACTTTCGTCCTTTTGCTCTTATTTCTGTGCGCGTAGTGTTCTTCTTGTGAAAGTGGCCGCATGGGATATAGGTCGCATATCTTACTCCTACTCCGTACGGAGTATGAGTAAGATACGATGGCATCGAACGAAACTGCGCTTGCAGAAGTATGCTTATGTGATCGCTTCCCGTTCCCCTGCTCCTTTCTTTCAATAGCAGGTTTCTGCAAGCCAAGTCTTTCGTTATGCAAACACGGGCAACGGGCGGATAGCCACCTCTTCTTCCACCCCATATACGACGTGTCTTACAACGTACGGAGTACTCCGTAGTACGAGCTCAATACTCAGTTCCCTTCCTGTTTTGGCTTTCTTTCCCTTTTTTCTGCGACAACCTTCCAGCTCTCCACCCGATTTCTGGTGCAACGCTGATTCTCTCGACCCTGGCCCCAGTCGAATCCCTGCATCCTTGCCTGCATTCCGCTATTCGAATTTGTCAGTAACATACAAAAGAAATACGATGTACTTGTATACCTTGACCTGCGTGTTTTCTTTTTTTTTTCGGGCTCTTCTCACCTCCAGAGCACAGCCTTAGTAAGTCCTTCAGTGTAATTCACCTGAAGCAATCTATAGCACCGTTTCTTTCTTGTTCGGGTCATCTCTCTTCGTCGACTTCCGCGCGAATGACGAGGGTAGTAGGGCGACAAACGACGAAGGTTTGACTATGCAGAGCGGGTGACAAGCCCGCCACTGGCCGCGGCTGCTTAGCGCTGCTCGGAGCTGTCTGGGTAGCAGTGAGGTTAGCTTTACACAGTATATCTGCATCCCAATGCGAAAACTGCCCTTTAAGTTGACGCGCCAATGAATCAGAATACCCTGCGCTGGTAAAAGATAAATAGTTAAATATATCAGCATCCAGCGTCGTTAAAAGCATCGGTACGGCAGATCTACAGAAGATCTTTGCAGTTCGACTACGAACCATCGCGATTTTAGTCCCCCAGGGCAGCAGTCTCTTTCTCCCTCTATTTTTGATAGACTAGGTTTTCTACGCAAGCGATGTAGCAAACATGAGGTATTGCGCCGTCCTTTACTCCAAACAGCCATGCTCCCAGCAATACTTGGAGGCGCATATTCGATTTTCATGTTTGAAGAGGACAGCTCAAAAGAGAAACAGCCTTTGGAGGTACAATGTGTTGTGGAG